TATATATATATATATATAAAGGTTACATAGAACAAAACGTCCCATCTGGAACAGGTCATCATAATTCCGATAAGCACGCAGGATGATCGATGGAACAGTCCGACGATAGATGCGCATTTCCTTTGTTTAGAATTTTGAACATTAATTTACTCTGGGAGGTCCTGTTCAATTTTGACCACTGTGAGAAACATCCAATCATATTCTTTTGTGCCATCCAAACATACTGCTCACAAATGTGAGGAGTACCTCGTAGCACCATGACTGTTGCATTAATACATTATGTGACTCGCCTCTCCAAACCCCGGGGACTAGGTCGTCNNAGGTCGTCATTTATCACGAGTGACTGGTAGATCCTCGTCATCAATGGACTCATCTCTTCCCCTAGGGAGTGTCCGTAATTTTTTCATCGTTGGTTTCACCTTGACCAGTCATTTGACTCACCTCACCTTTATTACTTTCCTAGACCTTTAATCCACATCCACAATGCCACATCGATCAAATCGTAAAGCGGCTCCTTTTCATTGTCTTTTAGTTTCGCAAATGAGGTTGCTGGGATCCCGGACTTGGGCACAACGGGTCGTGGCAATGGGCTCCAAATTGGGACCTACATTGACAAACCATTCTTCAGTGAACTATCTGGTAATGTGATTGACCTATGTCCCGTGGGAGCGCTCACCTCTAAACCGTATGCATTTACTGCCCGACCTTGGGAAACAAGACGTATAGAGTCCATCGATGTTATGGACGCTATTGGAACGAATATCGTGATTTCGATGCGTACTAATGAGGTTTTGCGTATCATTCCGCGTTTAAACGAGGTATGTCATATGTTTCCCTTAACACGTATTTTGTGTTATTCAGCTATCCGTTGGATGGTCTCCGGTAATCACTGAGTAACCGGAGGCGCTTTTAGTTCCATTCCACTTTTTTATCTTTCTCGGTCAGTCCTTTAAATTACTACTGGGTTGCTCTGTGATTTTGGAAACAAACTGAACATTGAAACGACTACAGCGCTTGTCGATGGTTCAATTCAAATGAATGGGTTCATCGAAAGATTTCGTGCTCACTTTCATGCGCTGGTTTTAGTTGCTGTCTTCTGCAATCTGTCATTGAGTGGAGGAAAGCCTTTTTGCTGTTACAGGATTCGAGGGTATTGCTTGCACATAAATGTCCGATGAGAACACATTTAGTTGCTCTACGGTATTAGAGGAATGCAGAAGCGGTACGGTCTACAACATTGGGCCATTATCGATTTTGCGTTTAAAGATTGAAAGGTGGTAAGTAGAGAGAAAGACTGAAAGTGGAAGGGCGTTCCGTAACGTGTCAGTTCGGAGGAAAAGGGAAGATTGAGGTAGAAACGTACGATATATAGTAACTGAAATCTAATAAGTATGACCAACTACCGATGTCCAGGATGGTTGGACAAAAGTTACAGCAAATGGGACTGCCGAGTGAAACTCTGAGCAACCAAAATAGTAACGGTACGGAGTAGATTAGTGACTGCCATTCGGAAGTTTGGGAAGAATCACCAATCACCCGGATCGTCTTTCGTTGAACGCAGTCAAGAAGGGAAATAGCTGTATACGAATCCCCACTCTACATGTGAGTGCAGCATTCAAGAGCAGGACTGATTTGAGGTTTGCATCGTGGTAGTGTGAAAGTGTCCGCCGCGGACAAACAAACTACCTTGCATGCAGCACAAAAAGCAAGCATAAAAGAGTTTCAGGCTAACTAAGAAGAGAAACGAAGTCTGTGTAGCACAGTCGGGTAGAGTCGAATAAAATAAAAAATACAATCATCATCATCGCACACCGAAATGCAGTTAAGCGAACTCAACTGATCGCTACCAAACTCGCAACGTAGAAAAATCAGTGTAGATACATTAGATGGACAGGGATTGGAACTATTTTGAGGTAGGGAGAAGAAAGTGAACCTCTATGCTCCACACAGTGTGCGCAACCTAACTATGCATACATACATTCTGGCCTGATAAGAAGTGACAATAAAAACACCGCTGTCGTTTAGTTCCATATCCTTCAGTGCCTCCAACCAACCAGTCACAAACTTTTGGAGTCCACCATGAAAGGTGCGAGACACCTCTGCCTATCACTTCGGATTTCTTCATGCCTCATCTCCACATCATCTGCTGACCTCCACGTGGTTTCCTCCATCTCGGAGCGGCTACAGTGAAAAAATCGCGGTGCGGTAGACGACAACTGAGTATGCGCAATACGTATCCTAACCAACAAAGCCTACTAATCTAAACTTTATGAGCTAGCAAGTTGTTGTTGTTGTCGTAAAGCTAGATACAGACTTTCAGTTTCAGTTTGAACAACCATTAACCATGCACTTTCGTGCGCCGGTTTTGGTTGCTGTCTTTTGGCTGCCCATTTGGATGAAGAGTAGGAGAAGAAAGGAAAGTGGATTCGAAAGGAAAATGAAGAAGTTCAGTAGTCTAAGGTTGCAAAGAAATTGAGGAGATGCACGAACGCCACTGTTTACGACACCCAGCCATATCGTTCAGTGTCTCTAACCATCGGTTACGATCATTCCGAGGTCCCCAGCCAGGGAGTCTATCAGGATCTATGTGACCCAGTTTCCTGGTTAGGGTTTTCATACCCTCGTGCCAGGTCTTAACTGGACCACCCTTGGCTTTTTTCCACTCGGTATCTTCTTCG